ATGTGTGACGCAGTGGCCCACAGGGCATTCCCACCGTCGGACAGAGGTTCGGCAACAGCCTCCTATGGTTGAGCACAGATAGCCTTAGGACCAAAGTGAATTACTGCATGCGCAATAGCTGTCTGATAAACTACGTCCTTGCGTGGGAAGTATGCCGCCATCAGCGTGCTCAGTACTCCCCATAAATTCGAGAGACGTGTTTCTGACTTTGAAATCTGTGTTTCTGAAAGGCTGCGTTCCTTCCAGTTTTGGTTCGTAGGGAGGATCTTGTGCATCGATTTCTCGCGGCTGCACTGTGTCAATGATCTTGGGCTTCTCAGCCTTCAATGCTCGCCGATAAACCTGGCCCGCAACATTGAACATGGCAAGAAAATCGTCTTTACACTGGGTCCAGTCGGCGCGCTTCATCACGGCCTGGTAGGGCACAAGGCTCCTGCCATTCAATGACTCGAAGACTTTGTAACCACCAAGGTTCATGGTCCGCAAAAAGGAGCGCAAGTAGATAGGAAAGGTGAATTCGGCATACGACATCTGATACCAGTTCTCTAGGACCGGATTGTCACAGACTGCAGCTGCCCTGTTTGGCAGAAAGGGTGCACCGGCAGAGCATTTCCTCAAGGCCAAAACCACGTAGAATGATGAAGCACGGCATCTGGCCATCGTCATCTGCTGGTCTGTTAAAGTTTTCAGAATTAACGACTCGTTGCGCATCATCACTTGGTACAACATGCTCGCCATGAATCGCGCCATGTGATTGCTGAGTGCTTCTGGAAAGCTGAAAAATTGATGATCTTGGCCCCTCCCGTATGCGGAACTGCCCGCATGATCCAAATGAATGGAGGTTGTGTCAGCAGTAGGGTTGAATGGGAGTCCTTGTCAGGCGATACGACTTCTTGGCAAGTTGCTATGTAAACGGCTGCCTCCTCAAGGGGGTCACGCCAATGCCGCCCAGCCAAAACTCGCAAGGAGTTCACAAGTGGCCTCCACGTTGGTGGGACGTTGCATCTGATCTTCACATCGCCTGGCTTGAGGACCTCCAGGTGACGCAGCTCGGAATTCCAAGGCCTGTCTGGAAAGGCAAAGGCTTCTGGAGGCGAAAAAAGTTGAGCCGCCGAGGCTACATGGATCTTGGTGCCTGTCTCAACCCGAACCCATGTTGACAGCTTCTGCCTCAAGAAGGAAGCCACTCCTCCGCTTTCGCCGTCAGAAAGGTTCTCGCTGATCCAACTTTCCGCTCTCAGGGCCCTCCCCAGTGAATGAAATATTGCGTCCACGTCCACTTCCCTCTCTTGCAGAGCCTGTGTGTTTGCATGCAGAATTGATGTTCGGTCTGACTTCGGGCTAGAAGGCGCGGTGCCAGGCAGATCGGTCGAGGTGGAAAAGGCCATGCAATCACAGGTCAGTCCCAGGCTGAGCCTGGCCTTGACTCTTACCTACAGTCACAGGGGCAGTTTAGGAAGCTGCTGCTAATGAACCCCCGAAATCTATATCGATGTCAGCGTGGGTATTTCCGGATAGCTGTTACAACATGTCTGTCCTGCAGGCCGTAAAAGACCGGGCCAAATGTTTGAGTCAGAATGGCTGCGTAATGAGCATCGTCATCAAGTAGATCGCTGTGGAATTCTGCCTGGTATGAGACGGTTGCACTTCAGTATTGGGCGCTCAAGTCGCCACAGCTGAATGTCAAATCTGACATCTCCTGACATATTGACTCTAACACTCACAGACCCAGAGCCGACTGTAGCGCGAGGCTGAAGGGTGTAATGGCCATACTTGCAAATCCCACAGAGTCTCAAGCTCTCAAACACTTCTTCCGAGGCAGCCAATGCAGGACAGTGCCTGAATACGAGTTCAAGCTCCGATGGGTCTCCTATAATCCCCTATATAAAGCCCCAGTTTCCATTTACTTTTCCATTGTCTTTTCCATTTGATTCTCCGTTATAGGGCTTATACCCCCAATATAACCCCCTAATTAATGTTGCCCCAATTGATCCTATTTGATGGGGGCCTATCTTCCGAGCTTGGCTGCTGCCCTTTGGAGTCCATGGCGGTCGCGGTGCTAGGGTTTAGTGCATTTAGCTCTGACATCTCGTGTCCCTAGACCTTAGACCCTACACCCTAGTCGAGGTACTAGTCAAGCCTGCTGTGCTGTAAGTAGGCCAGAGTGTCCCAGCGTCCTGCCTCAAGAAGACCTTCAAGTGAACCCTAAACCCTAAACCCTAAACCTTGTAGTTACCAGGTGGTTACCCAATTTACTCGGAGCCCTTGAAGTTGCTCGTATGAGGCTAATGAGGCTATCAGCTCTAAGCCCTAAAGCCTAAACTACAAGGGCATCTATCATCCCGGTAGTTGGCATTTTCTTTTCCATTATCCCTATATGACCCCTATAATGCCTGTACCTGATAACTACCCGGAAATCTCCTTGCTACTGCCTAGCTTGCGGAGGTGGGCTGCTTGCTTGCTGCAGGTCCATGGGGCTGTTGAGCTAGGGTTTTTAGGTTAGGGTTGGACCCTGCTAAACAGCACATCAATGATGAGAGGATTTGTTACCAGAACCTGTGCAGAAAGGACCCTTAAACCCTAAGTCCAAAACTATGATATGACTGCAATATGGTCCTAATTTTTAGGGGTTGGGGTTACTAATGTCAATCGAGTGTAGCAAGTGGCCGGACCTGCCTTGCAGCGCGTGAAGGGTTTAAGATGTAAGGATCAATCCCATTCCTACCGATCCTGTTTGAACCAATCGGTGGCCAAGCGTTGTGTCTGGGCACTCTCTGAGTTGATGTGTGGCACTTTGGGCTTCTCTCTTTTTTTGTCTGAAATGAAACTTGGCCAAGGTTTGTTGAGGAATTGTCCTCAACAATTCACCAGCACGGGATCCGAACAACAATGACAGAACAGAAGCCGGAAACTGCTAAAGGAGGCCCAGAATGGATGCTGTGTTTTTTACAGAGTCCATACTCAAAGGCTGCATGTAGCTGTAAAGTATACACTTAGGGGCCGCGAGGGGCTCCCATATCCTGAGGGCCCAAGTATGTATTATTGGGGCTATGCCCCCGTATCAAGTCACTATACAAGTCCCGAGTCTGCGTATTCCCATGCTTGCTGGACCTGGCTTTCGACTCTGTGGAGTTTGCTGGAAGGCACTTCTGGCATTTCTGACCTTTTAAAACTTCGCAGGTTTGCCGGACACTTTGGTGAAGTCTTCCGCCGGAGGAAGAAACGCTGCAAATTTGGTCCTCAAACTCCGCCGCAGGAGCACAATTCTCTAATGCACAGCCTTAGCGACCTGTGCATCGGTATGTCTGTTCGTGCCTTAGGGTCTTTCAGGAATGCTCGCAAAAGCATTATGAGTGGGATCAGCAGTTGCATGCGCTGGCTTGTCTCAACACTAGACCACCGCATTGAATCTGCTCACGATACACCACAAAAATTCAGACGGAATCTTCAGAAGCAAAACTTCACCGGAACTTCGCTCAGCAAAAAAACGCCTATAACCCAAGCAACAGTAGTAGTAGTAGTAGTAGTAGTGGTAGTAGTAGTGGTGGCAGAATCAGTATTAGTAATAGCAACAAAATAGCAATAGTAATAGTAATAATAATAATAGTAAGCTCCATCAACGAGTGGGTACCACTCCTGTGGTTGAGCTCGCCACTCAGGGGGCACCCCAGATATTGACCCCAATATATTGTAATCTTTATTCTAGGAACTCCCCCAGAAAGGACCCCCCCAACTTCTCCAAACCCTAAACCCTAACGAAAACCTAAACCCACCCTGCACAGGCCATCCAACCCCTCAACCTCTTCTAGTTTCTGGTAAGTCACACTTGAAGCCACGAATCCCGTACACCTATAGTCCCCCTTGAGTAGATAGAATATAGCTTGGGGTATATTATAATAAGATCCCCATATACCCCATATTCTATCTACTTAAGGGGGGGCTACAAGTAAACAAACACCCGCCTAATATATCAAATATTGCCAAAGTGGTCTATATTGGGAAGCTGAAGCATGAGGGGGCAATAGGCGCAAGTCATGGTGGGGGGGACAGTCAATATTTCTCACACGGATTTGTGGACAAGAGTTCCTGTGAAGTTGTTATATATAAAAGGGGTTATACTAAACTACCAAAGAGACCCCATGTCCACCCCCTAACCAAGCCTAATACTGACAGTCGCTCACATGTTGGACCACCCTTTAATGCTGAATCGTACATCTTGTTGGCACCAGAAGCTCACACGACTTCTTGCTTGTCACTTTGTACAAGATCACCCAACTTTGGGGTGATGGTCCTGAAGTTGGCGAAAGACTTTAGGGTTTAGGGCTTTGACGGCTGCGGGTTTAAGGTTTCTAGGGTTTACCCTTAACCCTAAACCCTAAAGTTGTTGGGGCTCGGAGCTTAGGGTTCTCGTAGCTCATGTTTAAGTTGCTGTTTGCTTTGGGTCCTTAGGGTGCTTTGAGGCTTACTGAATGCGTGTGTGCAAATCTCTGCGGGTTTTTTCAACATCAGGGCCCTAAGGGACCCCACGAAAATATGGGGAATGTAGGAAGAAAAAAGGGGTTCCCCCTTGAGGATGAAGTAAGGATTTTTTGGGCCTAGGGTTTAGGGTTAAGGGTTCCTCCCATAAAGCTCCAGACACAACCAGCATGGAAACAAGGACTCTCAAGTTTTGGAAGCCCTTCCCCGTGTGTACCCCCATAGATTTCCCTACGCATAACCCTAAACCCTAAAGTTTAACCTTTATACATCCGCCTAGGTATCCCAACCTAACTTTAGTCCAGTCCACTCTGCAATACGAGGTTGTTTTGGGGGTTTCACAGAAAACAGAGAGAGTTCATCTGAGGGTTTCCCAAAATTAGGAGTACCTTCTTGGGATCCCTAATATGTACTATAATGGACCATAGCATTTTGGGGTCTACCATCTATTTCTTTCGTCAATGTGCGTGGCGGCCACGATCATCTACGCCCATCTCTCACTCCAAGCGATGGGCACAGGAGCGTCACGGGTCTGGATAGCCAAAGTTGACGAAGTCCCCCCTGTAGTAGGTGCGAATGAAATTCATTGTCTCCTGGCCCAGAGCAAAAACACAGACAAAGGCAGTCCTTCAACCCTAAACCCCATGTATCCTCCCTTATTCTCTACAAAACCCTAGTGAGCCAGAACCTCCAGTTCTGTACAAGCATCTATGCTCCGAATGCACAAGCACACAATGCGAGTCTGACAGAAACCCGATTTCGACCCCAAACTCCTAAACCCTAAATCCCTAATCTGTGCATCATGCGGTGCTTTCCAGCAGAGGTCAAGCCCCAACGTAAACACCGAAGTATTAAAACCTTATTCTGAAGGTTACCAAAAATCTGGGCTTAAGCTTTAGGGTTTAGGGAGACCCTAAACCCTGCGAACCCGGCATAATTCCAGTGTCCCTTTCATCTTCCATGTCTTTTCTGTTTGGTTCTCCATCATTGGGGCGATATCCCTAAAACCAACAAGTAATCCCAGTGGCCATTCCATGTTCCATCTTCTTTTCCATCATAGGGGTAATATCCCTAAACCCTGAACGCTATCTATCTATATATGTATAAACATAAATCCCATATAACCCATGTGTGTATATATATACACACCCCCTATGTAACCCCCTAAACCCTTAGCCCTAAACCAAACAAGACAAGTAGCAAAATGCTCAGCGAAGTGTTCTGCGCAGTGGTCTCTAGAAATGATATAGGGTTTAGGGCTTTTGACGTATATGGAAGTTGCCCAACGTAACTAGGGGTTATAGGGGCAATGGCGAATAAGATGGAAAAAGAACATGGAACATGACATGGAAACTGGGGTTATATCTGACTAGTAAATGGTTTGGACTTTCCAAAAATTAGGGGTACCTTTTGGGGGTCCCTATAACAATAATTTCTCTCCCGACTTACTGCTGTTCAAAAAAAACTCTTACAAAGCGTTACAGCAGAGTCATACAATAGCAATCCCAATACATAGATGATCAGGACCTTACAGATTGCAATCGCAATAAGAGTAAAACTAGTGGGAGGGTTTCCAGAAATTAGGGGTCCTTTCCGAAGGTATAGAATTTGGGTGCATAGAAGGGGGACCCCGATTCCTTAGAAACTCCACATGCAGGCGAAAAAGTTGGTCTAGACCTTAAACCCTAGAAAAATATACAGTAGTTTCCATTTTCCATTATCCCAATATAGCCCCAATGTACTATAGTAGTTTCCATCCCCATATTAACCCCAATGTACTAAGGGTAGTTTCCATTCTATTTTCCACTCCGTCGTTCCCAGGCAATTGCAAACAAGTTGGTCTTCCTAAAAGTTTTCCATCAAGGTGAACAGCTTGGTCTACACCTGACACCCAAAAATTACCATTCCGTTTTCTTTTGCACTCCGCCATTCCCAACTGACAGCCAGTAAGGCAAGTACAAACAAGCTGGTCTTCCTAAAGGCCCGTAAGCCCTAGAACCTAAACCTAAAACATATGTTTCTGTCCTCTTTTCCATTAATGCTACATAATCGCAAAATCATAGCCCCTAGGCCCTGCCTGAGCCCCAAAGGTATGTAGAATAATGGCCTTACGAGCTATATTTAGGGGTTTTGGGCTATTATTTTACCTACTTTGGGGGTCCAGGTAAGCCCTCAACCTTCAACCACCTGCCCACCTCGCTGATGTCTTGGCGCCCGTAGCGCAGGGCATCAGGCTGCACTTGCCTGACTGCTTCAGTGTTTAGTGTCTAGGATTAAGGGTTTAGGGTCTAGGATTTGGGGTTTAAGGTTTAGGGTTTAGTCTTTAGAGAATGAGAGAAATGTGATTTTGGGTTTAAGGTTGGCTTACTGATTTCTAGCAGGGACTGCGGGACAGGAAAAGAAAATGCAAACTATGATCATGGAGAATCATCTGCAAATCAAATGGGCACTGGGGTTATAGAGTGATAACATAGGGAATGAAAGAAAAGAACATGGAAACTGTTGAGGGGCTTGGACCTTAGATGCTCAGCAGGGAATGATGGAATAGAACAGCAAATGAAGACTGCTGTTTAGGATTGTTTGGGGTTTAAGGTTTAATTGCAGTTTAGGGTGGGTGGGCAGTAGGGAATGGAAGATTGAAAAAGGCAGTGGAAACTACTATGTTAATTGGCGGGTTTGTTGATCTATATATATATATATCTGTGGGGGTTTCCCAAAATTAAAGTACCCTTTTGGGGGTCCCTGTAATAAGGACTATAGTATATTGGGGTCTATATTGGGGTCCCCCTATCTTGGGAAACTAACACATATATATATATGCATAAGCATTGTTACGCGGATCCCTTCCGCCAATCCTTGCTAACGGCGAGCTACGGCATAGTCGCCACGCTGTAGTTGTAGAGTGGCAGGAGGTGGTTCAAGTCTGCCTCCAAATTTTCCTTGTCCAAGTGGTTGCGATTACAAGGGGTAGTGAGCTAGATTCTACACGAGCCTCGAAGCCAAAGGTTTCATGGGAATTGCTTTTCTCAGGCGTCCATCTACAAAGTCTGAATCTTGGATGTGCATTTGCACTGCAATCTTTTATGCTATCCACTAAACAACATCTCGTGCATCTTCGCTCGCGACAAAACAAAGCTTCAGGGTTTCACTGAAGTTGCTTCTGGCAAGGGTCCATTCAGCAAGTCCAAATCTTTGATGTACACGTGCACTCCAATCTCTTCTCTATCCGGTCCATCGTCGCTCGCAAAACGACAAGGGTTAAGGCTTATAGAGCTTGTCTTGCAGCGCGGCTCAGTGCTGGCTCAGTGCTAAAGCTCTGTCCAATTGTTTTTTTGTGGCAACACTGTTTTGGGTTTAGGTTTTTCGGCAAAGAAAAGCGTTTCCAGGCCTAACTAGTGGTTGGACATTTTTGGACCAGCATGCAGAATGGCGTCGAAGTACACCATGTGCTGCAACACATCCGCATCCGGATCCAGGAAATCAGTCATGCGAGAAAAGTCCTTGATTCACAAGCAGGAGTTGTCTTCAGCATGGCTCGTCACGGTTCTGAGTTCAGCGGTCAAGCGGACACATGAAAGCAAATGCCCAGCGAGAATGAATTTAAGTGCTTCAAATACGGACTTCGGGACCAGCGTTATCAGCTTGCTTGCGAGCTTCTCCAAGTTACCCTTAACCCCATCAATCGCCCAGACAAACACCCACACAACTCTGTCACCAAATCTGCGCAGTGCTGAACTGTCGTTGCTTTTGGAGCCTCGTGGTGTCTGGCTTTCTTTGCTTTTGGAGCGTCATATCTGTGAAGTGCAGATCTGCAATCGCTTTTGGAGCCTCGTCCTCGTGGTGGCGAAGTGCCGAACTGTCATCACGTTTGGAGCCTTTCGGTGACGAAGTGCGAAATCTGCCATGGTTTTTGGAGCTTCGTATAACCAAGTATCCCCCCCTACACCCTCCCTCCACTCTGGGGCTGGAAAGTGGGAGGTGGGAGTGAGGTGGGAGGGTGGGAGGGAGGGTGAGCGGGTGGGAGGTGGGAGGTGGGAGAGGAGGTGGGAGGTGGGAGGGTGGGGGGTGAGGTGGGAGGTGGGAGGTGGAAAATCGGAGGATCGCCGTAGATCGCTGGAAATCGAATCGATAGATCGATGTCGATCGAATCGATTCGGTCATGGCATGACCCTTCCAGGCACCCAATCCCTATCACTGCTGGCATTTTTCAGACTGTGAAGACTAAGACTAAGACAACGACAGTTACTGGCCCTCCCTCCCCCCCTCCCACCAGACCGTACCATGCGGGGGCATGAACGCCAGACGCCCGACATTTACAGAAATGGGCGGGCACGATCCAGGGCTGTGGTAGATTTTTGTACTTGAACGATTCAAATATCTACCATGAATAGCTCATGTGTCCTTCATAGGAATGCTAGTCCATCTCTACATCGACACATCTATAGAGAATCCTACTTTATCCATCCGTATATTCTCTTTCATTCCCATACCAGGTAAACTTACTAATGGCTTACGCAATTCCTCAGTTTGTGGGACTCCCACCCACCCACACCTTCAGGATGGGGGGGAAGACCTGAAACCATGTCTAAACTCTCCCTAAACCTAATGCAAACCACAAGTCCCAGACCACAGGACACAGAACCACAGGACCACAGGGGGGCGGGGTGGGGTAACGGCTTCTAAACACTCTACGAACACTATAAACCTTTTTAAAACCTGAACTTACTTTTTTTCCAGACCACAGGCCACAGGACCACCGGGGCGGGGGGGTGGGGGTGCGGGGGGAAGGTAATAGGTTATTATAAATACACTATTAACCTTCCTAAACCTAATTTAAGCCAACAGGCCACAGGACCAGGGAGGAATATGTCATATACACACTGGAAAACCTGTGAACCTTCCACAGACCGAAATTAAGCTACCAGACCCAGACCGTAGGCCACCACCTGAAAAAAGGTGGGGGTGGGGCGGGTCAGTCATAGGACGATGACCATGGGCGGGGGGGGGGGAGCCAACGCTGCTCCCTATACAGGGTTCAGGGATGTCACTCCAATAATGGAGAGCCAAGTGGACAATAGAACGGAGAATGAAGCGGAACCCGGCATTACATGCAGGGTTCAGGGATAAATGCCCACTAGTGCAGAATCAAATGGGGAAGAGAATGGAGAATGCAATAGGAACTGAGATTACAAAAGTACTATGCCAATAACGGAGAATGACATGGAAACTGGGATTTCATAGAGGGTTTAGGGTTGATACTCCAGCAATGCAGAACCAAGTGGGAAAGATAATGGAGAATGAATTACATATGTAAGATCTTGAAGTAAATCGACAACAATTGAGAATCACATGGAAAAGAGAATTGATAATGACAGGGAAGTTGGGATTACATCCAGGGTTTAATGATGATGGCCCGATAGTGGAGAATCAGTGGAAAATAACATGGATAATGACATGGAAACTTAGATGACATAGAAGGTGTTAAAATGATCCTTTCCCCATCTTTCCCCCCCAATACCCTATGCCCCGTTCATGATTGTAACCACCCTGAACCCTAAAGAGAATTCCATATTAGGAGGGTGCATTTATCGCAGGAGCCCAAGATCAGGGAGGTTGGGGTGGTATCAGAAGAGCTAAGCTTGCTGGCTAGGGCAGTTTTTAAACAAAATATCATGCTGGGGAGAGTTGGGAAATGTTCAGTCTTCACGATTTCAGGATTCGGATTTTGGGTCTGGTTCTTGGAGCTCTCCTCAAGATTCCTTCATGAAAATCATTCCGAGACCATCAAAATCTAGGAAATCATGGAGATCCCTGATCCTTAAGAGTCATGCTAGCGACGACCTCCCCTAATTGAGAGGATCCAAGCCGTAATTAACTTTAGCCTTGGCCCTGTTAGCAGCAGTCTCCTGGGCAGATTTCCAATTTTGGAACTCTTGGGGTTTAGGTTTTTTTTGGGGGGGAGGGGGGGCTTAGAGTTAGGGGGAATGGATAATTACTCCAATAATGGAGAGCCAGAACGAACAGAACATGAAGAATGAAATGGAAACTGGGAATATATGTAGGGTGTAGGCATACTACCCCAAGAGTGTAGAGTCAAAGGACAAAGGAAAAGAGCATGGAGAATGAGATGACCACTGGGAAATATGTAACGCTTAGGGATTAAACCCAACAGCCAAGCATCAAATGGCAAAGAACATGGAGAAATGGAAGCTGGGAATATGCATATATAGTCTAAAGTTTCAAGTGTTCCCCCAATAACAGAGAAGACAAGAGATGACAAGGGAGAATGGAACGGACACTGGGTTACATACAGGGTTTAGAGATATTACCCCAACAATGGAGAATCCAATCGAACAGAAAGTCGGGAATGGCATCAAATCAAGTATCAAGGAAAGAAGTGGAAAAGAAAACGGAGAACGACATGGAAATTGGGATTCTATTGGGGGGTTTAGGGTTTAGGGCTGGTCTGGGGATATTATCCCGATACCGGAGATCAAACGTTTAAGAAAATAGAGAATGACACGGAAACTGTGGTTATACATAAAGTCTTAGGATATATTCCCTAAACCCTAAAAACCCTGAACCCTAACCCCCAATCCTGGAGAATCCTCTGGACGAGAAAATTCACAATGAAAGCTGGGTAGGGTTTAGGGTGTAGGGTGTAAGGTTCATGTTTTAGGGGGTTTGTGTGGCCCTAAGCCCTTTGGCATTTTAAGGTCATGAAAACCCGTTGTCCTAGCTGTAAGCCCTATAAGCCTAAACTCCGCCTGCATGTCTGCCAGCCCTGCTGACTTCGACACTTAGTTGCATGCAGGGCCGGCAATCAGATACTCATGGGTTAGGGTTCAGGGCTTGGGGTTTAGGGGCCTAAATAATGGAAGGTTATTCAGGAGGCATATGGGCGAATAGTGGAGAGCCAAACGGAGAAGAACGTGGAAAATGTAATGAAATTGGGATTCCCCAAACCCTAAACCTTGGGTACTGCCTCCATTCAGTAACAGTTGGATAATAATGATAATATGGCTATATGTATCCCTTACCAGGACCCTAATATAGACTGTTAGTGGGTGGGGGCAGTACCCAACCTAAACCCTAAACCCCGGAAAATCTAAAGGATTGTAGGTAATAGGGGCGCAAGATCACTACCAGTGCTAGGGTTAAGGGATTTAGGGTTTAGGGTTGTTGGAGGTACCCTATACCATAGTGACTACAGTATTGGAAATTATTTGGGCCCAAGTAGTACACAGATCTGACTAGCATCGCCTTTGTGGCCAGCCCATATCTCCCCTAAACCCTCAACCCTAAACCCTAAACCCTAAATCCTAAACTCTACAGCCTTGGGCGCCAAGCATCGCCCTTGTGGCCAGCCCTTACCTCCTTCTGGAGCCAGATGTTGAACTCTCGGACGGTGTGGTTGTCAGCTGGAGAGCAGATGCACCGTTTGAGGGTTTAGGGTTTCGAGGTTTAGGGTTTTGGGTCTGAGGTTTAGGGTTCAGGGCTTAGGGTGGAGAAAAGGGTATGTGCGCGGGTATAAGGATTGCGGTGCTGTTAACATGCTAATTGAATTTTGGGGGTTTCTCAAGATCAGGGGTACAATTTCGGGGGTCCCTGAAATAAGGATTATTGCGTTGGGGGCTCCATGCAAACTACCTTCTGCTTCTTAGAGCTCTTGCCATCTTCAATTAGCGGCCAGGGTGCCAATTATCTTGCGCTGCCATTTCAGGAGCTGCAAGGAGGATTATGGGAACACGGGCTTCAAGCACTTAAACTGCAAGTATACATACATGTCGCCAATTGTAGTACGGAACTGAACTGCAAAGGCCACCACATCCTCCTTCTATGACTATTCCAAATGAGCTATAGTCTAAACTCCTCGTACCCCTTGAATAACTATATAATTAATCCCCTGTATGAGGCCCCTTTCAGGAGTTTGGGCCCTAAACCTGCCGCTCAAATGCCCTGGTGGCCTCTGGCGCAGCAAGCGTACTGCAACAGAAATCGGTCGATGGGGTTGCGAACGATGAGGAACCTGGAGAGCGACGGGCATGCGTAGGGTTTTGGGTGAAGGCTCCATGTGCCCAAGAAGTGCGAGTAATCCGTGAACCCACTGCCTCAAAATCAAGCCTGTATGCTGGGATGCGGCAGCCTCTCCAGAAAAGAAACGACTAGTGCTGTTATAGCGTGAAATGGTTGTTTCTTAGACTAGGGGCCCCTTTACATCACCAACGATGATAATCCCAATTATAAGAGCTCCCAAAACGGGACTTGATTTCTAAAATCCCCGAAGTATCTATTTTGCAAGTCACCAGTCGTACTTTCGCCGTCTCTTCTCGTGCATGTGGCGGAAGTCCTCAAAAAAGCGGTGGCCTGGCTCAATGAGAGCAAAATCTATGCGCCCAAAGGATGACCCAAAAGAACATTATCCACTTTTCTCCCTTGTAAACAACATCCCTGTTTTATAGTATGCCCTTAAAAGACTATTCTAATA